CTGAAAGCCTTAGAACAGAGAGAAGCAAATTCACCCTGCAGGAGTAGACACCAGGAAATAATCAACTTGAGGGCTGAAATCAACAAAATAGAAACCAGGAAAACAATACAAAAAATCAATGCAACAAAGAGTTGGTTTTTTGAGAAAATCAACAAGATAGACAAACCTTTATCCAAATCAACGAAAAAGCAGAGACAGAACATGCAAATTAACAAAATCAGAAACGAAATGGGGAACATAACAACAGACACAGAAGAAATCCGGACAATTTCCAGGTCATACTTTGAAAATCTGTATTCCACAAAAATTGAAAATTCAAAGGAAATGGACAAGTTTCTGGATAACTATCACTTACCAAAATTAAATCAAGAACAGACAAACAACTTAAATAGACCTATAACCCACAATGAAATATAAGCAGTCATCAAAAGCCTTCCAACGAAAAAAAGTCCAGGGCCAGTTGGATTCAGTGCAGAATTCCTCCAGACATGCAAGGAAGAACTAATACCACTACTCCTCAAACTATTCCACAAGATAGAAACAGAAGGTTTATTGCCAAACTCTTTTTATGAGGCCACAATAACTTTGGTACCCAAACTTCACAAAGACACAACTAAGAAAGAAAACTACAGACCAATATCCCTGATGAACATCGAGGCAAACATACTCAATAAAATACTGGCAAACCGAATTCAAGAATACATCAGAGAATTCATCCACCATGACCAAGTAGGCTTCATACCTGGAATGCAGGGATGGTTTAACATATGAAAATCTATCAACGTGATCCACCATATAAACAAACAGAAAAAGAAAAACCATATGATTATCTCCCTAGATGCGGAAAAAGCCTTCGACAAAATTCAACACCCTTTCATGATAAAGGTCTTGGAGAGGTCAGGGATAACAGGAACATACCTAAACATAATAAGAGCAATATACGGCAAACCAACTGCCAACATCAAACTGAATGGAGAGAAAATTAAGCCAACTCCTCTAAAATGAGGAACAAGACAAGGCTGTCCTCTCTCTCCATATCTCTTCAATATCGTACTAGAAGTTCTAGCTAATGCTATAAGACAACAAAAGGAGATCAAGGGCATCCAAATTGGAAAGGAAGAAGTCAAACTGTCTCTATTTGCAGATGATATGATAGTTTACAAAAGCGACCCAATAAACTCTACCAGGGAACTCCTACAGCTGATAAACACCTTCAGCAAACTAGCAGGATACAAGATAAACTAAAAAATAAATCAGTAACCTATTTTTTTTCAGACGACAAAGAGGCAGAGAAAGAAATCAGAGAAACATCACCCTTTACAATAGCCACAAGCAACATAAAGTATCTTGGTGTAACGCTTACCAAACAAGTAAAAGACCTATATAATAAGAACTTTGTGACTCTAAAGAAAGAAATTAAAGAAGATACCAGAAAATGGAAAGATCTCCCATGCTCTTGGTTAGGTAGGATAAACATAGTAAAAATGGCAATCTTACCAAAAGCAATCTGCAGATTCAATGTAATCCCTATTAAAATCCCACCACAATTCTTCACTGACCTTGAAAGGATAGTAATCAACTTTATATGGAAAAACAAAAGACTCAGGATAGCCAAAACAACCCTATACAATAAAAGAACATCAGGAGGCATCACCATTCCTGATTTTAAGCTCTACTACAGAGCTATAGTTCTGAAAACAGCCTGGTATTGGCATAAAAATAGAGGTAGACCAATGGAATCTAATTGAAAATCCTGATATTAATCCACACAACTATGAACACCCGATTTTCGACAAAACAGCTAAAATTATACAATGGGGCAAAGACAGCATCTTCAACAAATGGTGCTGGCACAATTGGATGAGGGTGTGTAGAAGACTGCAGATAGACCCATGTCTGTCGTCATGCACAAAACTCAAGTCCACATGGATCAAGACCTCAACATCAATCCAGCCACATTGAACCTCTTAGAGGAGAAAGTAGGGGGTACCCTTGAACAAATTGGTATAGGAGACTGCTCCTTGAACATAACTCCAGGGGCACAGGCACTGAAAGAAACAATTAATAAATGGGACCTCTTCAAACTTAGAAGCTTCTGTAAGGCAAAGGACACAGTTGACAAGACCAAACGGCTGCCCACTGACTGGGAAAAGATTTTCACTAATCCTATATCCGACAAAGGGCTGATCTCCAAAATACACAAAGAAGTCGGGAAACTAGTCAACAAAACACCAAATAACCCTATTAAAAAATGGGGTACAGAACTGAAGGAAGAATTCTCAATGGAGGAAATCAAAAAGGCTGAAAGACACTTAAGAAAATGCTCCACATCCTTAGCTATCAGGGAAATGCAAATCAAAACAACTTTGAGATACAATCTTACCCCTGCCAGAATGGCTAAAATTAGAAACACCAGTGATGACTTATGTTGGAGAGGATGTGGGAGTGCAAACTCATACAGCCATTTTGGAGATCAGTATGGCGGTTCCTCAGGAAAATGGGAATTAGTTTACCAAAGGACCCGGCAATCCAACTCTTAAGCATATACCCACATCCATGCAACAAAGACATCTATTCAACTATGTTCATAGCATCACTATTTGTAATAGCAAGAACCTTAATTGAAGAATGGATAATGAAGATGTGGCACAGCTACACAATGGAATACTACTCTGCAGAAAAAAATAATGATATCTTGAAATTCGCAGGCAAGTGGATGGCACTTGAAGAAACCATCCTGAATGAGGTAACCCAGTCACAAAAAGAGGAACACAGTATGTACTCACTCATATATGGATTTTAGAACTAGATCAAATGATCACCAGCTTATAATTCACATCACCAGAGGAACTAGGAGGATACAAGGTATATTCTAAGAGATTCATATAAAGTCCCTCACAGAACTGGGAAGGGAGAAGTCCCCCAGAGCTCAGGTGAAGTGGGGGAGGACAGTGAATGGAGAGAGAAGTTGGAGAAAATGAGGGGGAGGAGAGGAAGGCATGTGCGACCAGGAGGATTGAGCCTGGTTAGGAATGGAAGATAGGAAAGAGAGAGAGACACACACAGAGACAGAGAGAGAGAACATAAAAGAGGGAGCCAATATTGGTTTGAAGATAAAATTGAACACAAAGAATGGTCGAGAGAACTACAAGACTGCTCCCAACTAACAATCTCAGCTTTCATGGAAAGGCTATCATAAATGCCCTTCCTGGAGAGTGAGATCAACAACTAACTTCTCCATGGAGACCTCAACTAATGCCTGTTGAAAATAGGAGCAAACACCCATACATAAACACTGAGTCGAACTAGAACCCAGAAGCAGATGGAGAGGACAAGACCATGCGGTAGAAGCACATAGAGACAGCTTACCTGAACAAGGAGGAGCTAAGGGCCACTAGAGTGATAGTTGGGAAGCCAGCAGGGGTCTGACTCGGGCCCCCCTGAATATGGGTCTCAGCCAGAATGTCTGAGCAGTCTAAGAGACCTCAGACAGTGGAGCCAGGATGTATCCCTGGTGCACAAAAGGACTTTGCAAACATGTCCCCCATGGAGGGATAACTGCCTTATTCTAGAGACAGGAGAGAAGCCCTAGTCCCTACTTCACAGGACCTGTCACATCTACATGACCCCAACAGGATGGCATAATTTATTTATTTTTCCTAAAGGTCTGATTACTTGTGTATCTATTTTATATGTGTATGTCTCGGTGTGTATATGTATGAATGTATGTATGTACACCACATGTGTTCAGTGCTCACAAAAGCCTGAAGAGGTCATCCGATATCCCAGACCTGAAGTTACAGGTGACCATCAACCACCTCACATTATGTTGTTTACCTAGTTGGTTTGTTTGCATAATTTTCTGTCTTCTAGGAACAGTTTCCTGTAACATATATGCATCCAAGATGATACAGGATTTACTACTCCAGTCTGATAATGTTTCTAAAAATGTTGTCATTTTAGGAAAGAAATCAAATAACTTTGTTGCCATAGAATGGAGGAAGTAATGTATTTATAACATATGAAGCCCCCCAAAAAGGTGCTAAGAGATGGCCCAAATTTCCAAAGAACTTAGCACAATTCCAGTGGAAGAATGAGAAGTGGAAAAACTCTCTCCATCAGAACTGTCCAGGGATTAGAACTGAGAAATGATATTATAATACAAAAAAAAAAATGACACTCAAGAATGGTATTATTAAGATACAACAGAAACTCAAAACCTCACAATGGTTTAAGTACATTTACAATTTAGGACTATGCTAGTAGCTGTCCTTGACTGCACATGGCCAGAAGAGCATGAGTGAACACACCCTACCATAATTGAGAATATTCAGTGAGTTAGTTCATTCTTCCAATGACTCAGATAACTATATGTCATAAAATTTAAGACACAACCACTAAGGTTTTTTTTTATTCTTTTTTTTTTTTTTTTACTTTAGAACATATTTTTAAAGTTTCTAATCATTAGATTCTTTGGGGAGTTAAAGGCTTTGAGGTCTTGTTGGTGATAGTACATGGAAATCTGAGATTCACAAAAGAAATGTTAAATAAAAATTAAGTTAATTGGAAAACACATGCTTCAAAGTACTAAAATAATATTAACTTTAAATTTCAATACACCTCACATTAACACTTAATATCTGTTTGTCAAATCTTTAAAAACTTTAAGGTATAAAGTGATCATTCATGATCTTCAGCCTCAGATCCTGCATGTGAACAGCACATTAAGTAAATGCTCGACGTGTTTTCCCACTACAGGCCCTGACATCAGTCAGGCATTCCAACTTCAAGCCTTGGACAGCCTTTTATCCCCTCAGGATCTCTCATGAGGCAAGGATTAGCAGCACTAAACAGTACATATGCAGCCCAATATTTCATGCTCTGTGCCATTTCTTTTCTAAACAACTGGGGAAGTTTGTATTTAGATATCAAAGTAAGATAGCCTTTTAGGACACTTTCAAATTTAAAATAAGAAAAAATACTGAATTAAAGATACTTACATCTTACATTAGACCTGATTCAAAGTCAAAAGACCTTCTAAATAATGATGACTTTGTAGATGTACGCTCTTCTCTAGTTGCCTTTAAAATCTATGAAAAACTCTGGGAAAGAAACAATAATTATTAACTCAGTATCAAATAAAAACTTTAGATAATTATAAGCAACAATGAAATTGTTACAACTTTAAATTACAACTTTCAGAAACCAAGTCCTTTAATAATTTTTCAGCAACATTTGGTTTCATATGATCCACTGTTATTCTTTTTTCCAAGGTTTTAGATCATTAATCATCATTAGATCATTAAGCATGTGAAGTTGGTAAAAGAACCACAACTACACTTCTATTATTTGTTCTATTACTAAACCAGTCAGCTTCTCTTAAGACTTTAAATTTAATTACCTTTCTATACACTCAACACTATTAAGTCAAATTAATATTAATCTAAACAAGCCCAAGGCTTATTTAGTAAATAAGTAAATATCATTTCCTCTTTCCCAGTCATTACCCTTCATACATTAGATTACATATTTTATGCCTTTTACAGTGACATAACAGAAATACTACTGAATACATTTCTGGTGTTCAGTTGATTCTCAGTTCTCTCTGGCCAGCAAGAGGGCTTGGCATTTAGAAGTTCTTGCTCAAAATTCTTAGAGTCTAAATCCAAGCCTAGAAATGCACGTAGTAGAATGAGGGAACCTTCTCTTCTGGCCTCTCATGTAACACACACACACACACACACACACACACACACAAACACATACACACAAAGATTTTAAAGAGTTCTATATACATAATAAATAAGAACCAAGTACTCTGCCTGGCACTTAAAATTAAGCTTTTCTACTAGGCATCACCTTCTTTCTAGTCTCCTGTTCTATTTTTCCATTATTCTACTAGAGCAATATGAAGGCTAACTCTCTTACTGTTTCCTCCATCAAAAGAAAATTTACCCTTTGGAAACTGTGTATGAAGTTCACTTACTATTATCTCTATTTTTGCACAATTGCTCAAATACATGCTGTTTTCTAAGCTGTGGACATATTTGGGAGACATCTTTTCATGAATCTTTGCATTTTCATCAATTGTCACAGTTACTGCACATCTGACAGAGTGGGTAACAACATACTAAGTTACAAAAATTTCATTTCTCTACTACTTTTAACTAATTACACAATCTTATCTAGGGAGAAAAGTGTTAACTCTTCACCCACAACAAATGTTTGTGTTTTTACATATCTGCTACAAAATATGGATTAGCAATCAACACATTTATATCAAATATCTCTAAGTATAGTATGGAGTACAAAATAACAAAATGAACAGGTATGTATTACATGAATCTTCTCTGAATGTTTGTTCTGATGAAGAAAATAAAATTACATAAAAAGCAAACAAAGTAACTGGAGGAAATATTAAGTGTCCTGAAAGAAGGAAAGAGAGGAACTAATTCCAGGTAGCTCCTGTGTAAAACACCTGAAAATGTTATGGAGGTTAGAGCTAGCTTCTGTATAGCCTGTTAGGTTAAGCAATAAGATCAGAAAAGGAGGTGAGATTACCATAGGCAAAGAATTTGCAATCTTAATCCTACACAGCTTCACTTTCAAAAAGGATTTTAACATTACTTGCCAAATTCTCTCTTTATGTCTATTTTGGTTTCAAAATAAAACAAAAAGACTAAAACATCCACTACCTCAGATATTTCTGTAAGCAGGCACTCCTACTCTACCAGCTATTACTGGAGAGGAGTGGACTTCAAGAGAGAAGTGGCTAAATGAGACAGGCAGGAAGAGTGCTGCAAAGAAAAAACCTTGTGGGATGCTCTCCCCTGTAAGTACATGTTTCACAGGTCACCAATGACTTGAAAGGACAAAAGAGACTAACATTTGAAAAGAGAGAGCTTGGGGATGCTGTACCTGATGGAGGCTGGGCTTTCTCTATCTGGCTTAACGCTTGGTTCTTGTCTGCACTGACATTGACCAAAATCTTTTATTTAGAAACATGTAGCTCCTGAGCCAGAGCTGTGTCTGAAAGTTCCTAAGTCAGATATGGCAAGAGTCCAAATACCTCCTCGATGGACTGATTGGCCCTTCTTCAACCCAGCAAGGTCTCCTTTCTTACCTGCTGCTCCACGGACACCACCACCAAGACTCAGCTCATTGCCGGACTCTACCCCCAAGACCCTTCACACTTCACTCGCTGTGTGCCCACTTAGTCCTCTAACTCACCTGTGACCCTTGTTGCAGCAGCTGCTGCCACCGCCGCCTGAAGCTTCCGCCTTGGTCTCCTTGGTTACCGCGTTACATCGGTACCCATAGCAACCAGAATATTTGGGCTTGGTACTGCTGCTGTCCACCTGCAGAGGGAGGAAGAGAGTCTATGATGTGTGAGAGAATGGAAAGATCCTGGGGAAAGTGCAATGAAATTCAACAGGTGTGTGTTGGGGAGGTTGTTCAATCAGCCTCAACCTGGATTGAGCTACAATTACTGATTAACTGATCCGCTATAACACTGCAAGTACAGATCAAAGATTCCTCCATGTACCACGCACCTCATCTTCATAACAACCCAACTTATGTGTGAAAATTGGGCACAGAGAATTTAAGTAATTTACACCAAATTACAAAGCTGGCAAATAGCATGCCCACAAATTAACTCTAGCTGTCTAACTTTAGTAATCCCCTCAACCATGAATAATGTTACTGCTTTCACAGGGCTGCCAAGAAATCAGGACAAGAATCTAGCTCTCTTGGCAAGTCCAGAACTCCCTTGCTACCAAATATTTGATCCATGAGAATAAATATTTTAGACCTGTAGCATATGGATACACACAAAATTTACACACAGATAACTCATACATTCAAATGTTTTTTTTTTTAAGTTGATCTTCGACCATTTCATACTTTGTGCATCATAACACATTCTAATTAGCTCCCTCCTTTACAAACCCTTCTAGGGAGTGGTACAAATATTTTCTTTAGGTCTCAGTACTGCCATGTCATTTACTCTCAGTATGTTGAGCAACTGTGAGTCTTGGAATCCACTGCTGTTCACTGGAAATAGATTAAAGCTGAGAGTAGCATGTACTGATATAAACAGGTATTTACTAGGTAGTTTGGCACTACATCAATTTAGCTGACCATTAGTGAGCTCCCCCTACAGTTTATGAGTTTCCAAGCCATGTGTTTTATTGGGTTTACAGTACCAAGCATGGTTTGACTCCTGAGAAGCTGGTTTCAATCTTAATCAGAAAGTTGTTAGTTATCCCTGAAACAATCACACCACTAATATGCAGACAAAGTACACCTTGATGAGCATGTTGGTAATGACAATTACAGAGTTTAGACCTGAGTTAAGACTGTCCTTGCTTTTTCTTACTGCTAGCAGGCCTCTGAAAGCTAGCCAACAGGTAGGAAGCTTCCAACTTAGATTTGTTTATCTATATATCTATATCACTCAGTCAAGGTGTGTGATATCTGCAGCAATAGGATTGTGTTGATTTGAGTAAAAGTGCCCCCATAGGTTTGTAGGGAGTGGTATTATTAGGAGTTATGGCCTTATTGGAGTAGGTATGGCTTTTTTGGAAGAAGTGTGTAACTGGGGGTGGGCTTTCAGGTTTCAGATGCTCAAACAAGATCCAGTGTCTCTCCTTTATTACTGCTGCCTGCTGATCCACATTTAGAACTCTTGGCCCCTTCTCCAGCACCATATCGGCCTTCATGCCACCATTCTTCCTTCCATGGCAATAATGGACTGAACCTCTGACCTGTAAAACAGCCCCAATTAAATGCCATTTTTTTTAATAAGAGTTTCCATGGTGTCTCTTTACAGTGATAGAAACCTAAACTAAGACACGGATCTTATCAACCATCTGGGAACTCTTGACTGGCAATGCTAAAAAGAACACAGCCCACACCTGTCATTGTGGTTTGTGTTTAGTAACTCACAGCTGGAAGCAGCATCATCCAGACTTGTGTGTGCTCATAATCATTTACAATTTCATTTTATTGGATTATAAGATAATAGGCTTCCATATTGCTTCTCATGTACCTTTTGTTTTAGATTAGCACTCTCCTGAGCATACTTGTCCCCATTAGGCATTCTCTAATCATCTTCCTACTTAAACTTTTCTGTTTCCATTTCTCTTGGCTCCCAGATATACGCCAAGTTAACAGTACCAAACTGAAGATTGAAGGTAGGAACAATATATGAGAGAGCATATAGCCTTTGTCTGAACCTGGGTTACCTTATTGAGTATAATGGTTTCCCAGTCCCAATGCATCTTTTTCTTTTTCTTTTCTTTCTTTCTTTCTTTCTTTTTCTTTTTTTTTTCTTTTTTTGTTGTTGTTGTTTTGCAACTGAGTAAAACCCATCATGAATATGGACTGCATTTTGATTCTTCATCCATCAATGATTGAGGTCTAGGCTGTTTCTCTTGTCTAGCTGTTGTGAATGGAGTAGCAATAAACACTGGTGTGCAAGCATCTCTACAGTAAGTCTTTGAGTGCTTGGGTATATCCCAGAATGAATGACTTTGTAGCTCTATTTCTAGTTTTTGTTTGTTTTTGAGAAACTTCTAGACTACTTCCAAAGTGTCTGTACTACTCAAATATTTTTGTTCTGAGCAGAGATATCGCTGTAGTGATCTTATTTTGTTTTTGGTTTCTAAATAGTTTTTTTTTTAATTTTCATTAAACCTCTGTATTTATAGACTGCAGGTAGAAAATGTGATTGATTTTACAGTCAGTTTCCCTATAACCTTGTACAATTAGTTACACTACATTCATCATAGTATTAGACAAGTATTATTACCCTTTAATGTTACTATGGTAACCTCTGCACCAGTTCTCTTCTGTACAAGCTGGTCTCCATTTGAAAAGAATTCACTATTTTTTTCTCTCTGAAACTGGGTAAAAATACAAATATTCTGGTTGGAAGGGGGTATGCAACTAACTGGGTTTTGGAGTTGGATATACATGAATTTTAGGTATAATCCTTTAAAATGTATTTGCTATTTCACCATAATATATGGTAGAGGCTAAGTGATCTAACTTGTCAAATAACATGCTGGCACACCTAACCTTGTAGTGTATTAAATAAACCAAACAACACAAAGCACATTAAGTCTGTAGCTCTAAGCTAGACCCATAGATAGTACTTATAAACAGCAAAAATAGTGGTGTGTCATTGGTAATTGTTATTGCAGATTGAATGGCATGACTTCACCTAATCCTTCCTCTAAACCTGGTAAAATGATGGATTTTAAGTGGCCAGATAAAGCTTCTAAGTTTCTCATCCACAGTGTCCTTTCTATAACATTATGCTCTTCAAGTCACCAGCAAAGGTATTTTCAAAATTCATTTATTCGTTCCCTAGCTTGCTTTTACAAGTCTTCAACAAATGTTTGCTGATAGTCTACTATCCTGAGTACCAAAATATAAAAACACTAAGCCAGAAGACATAATATATATGCAAAGGGCCCTGTGCTTATTGCCTCAGTCTCTGTGAGTTCATATGAACTTTGATCATATTAATCTAGAAGCTGTTAGTGTTCCCTGTCCTTTCTCACTTTTACACTCTTTCTACCTCTTTTTCCCAGGGTTCCCTAACCCTAAGGGGAGGAATTTGAAGGAGACAAATATTTAGGATTTAGTGTTAAGCCTGTTTATTTTTTAACAAAAGAAGAAAAAAAGAAAAAGAGAATGAAAGGAAAGGAATGAGGACAATGGGAGGAAGAGAGGGAAGAAAGGAAGGAAAGGAAGAAGGAAACAAAGGAATGAAGGGAGAGACAAAGGGTCTGGATTTGGGGGACATCTACCAGACGTTTAACATAGAACACTATAATTAGAATATATTTTATTTTTTAAAACTCTAGTTTTAATAAAAGAAAAGAAAATAACAACAAATATAAAAATGAGCCAGGAATTTGAAAAAAGCAAGGAGCAGTGTATGGGAGGGTTTGAAGGGAAGAAAGTGGAGGGAGAGTTTATGTAATTATAATTTTAAAGAAAGATAAAAACATAAAAAGAAAGCCTTATGGTTCATTTTTTAAATTGTTCTCAAAATGATAAATTTTAGCTGTCACCATGACAGAATTCTTCAGCAAATAAATTTCTATAAGAAATTATTACTGATGTTCTATAAGTGGAGAAGAAACATTAGAACATATGTTCAGTTTCTGAAGTGCATATAATGCTTGCCAAGTTGAATAATATATATACAATCTTTTGAACATATGCACTTCTGTTTAACCAGCAATAGTCAATACTTGTTCTATGGCAAGCATCTCCTTAAGATGGATATGAAGAAGGAAAAGGACATTATTTACACTCTGGAAGAATCCAAATGAGAGTTCACATTTACTATGCCATGCATCAAATCTTGCAATTATGTGACACAGAAGCATTATATGATTATATGAAAGCATTAGTAGCATACAGTCAGATTTCTGGATAGTCAAAATAGTTTATATGTCAGATAGATAAGAGTAACAATCTGTACTAAGATCAAATTCAAAAGCACCTTACTCACAACAAAAATGTCCAATCATTCAAAATCTGAAAGATTTTCCTTACAGAAGCATACAAGGTTTTTGTTAATTTGTTTTTGTTTTATTTTGCTTTTGTTGTTTGTTTTGTTTTGTTTTGTGATGTCATGATACATATGTAAAAAAAAATGAAGAAACATGCAGCTTTAAAAAACATATTAGTCCAAATAGATATGGCCTAAGTCCACAATAAAGCAATGTGGAAGGCAGAGACCATACTAACAACACTGTAAACAATAAGCAAATCTTGAAGATTAAAGAAATATGGTTGGCCAGGAATTGCAACCAAAACTACTGGTCTCTGTATTTGATAGCTGCTTAACTGAGCATACAGTGCTGACTGCCGATCCAAGGATAAAAGGAAAGCAAGTTTACATACAGTGGTCACACTGAGGATGGGGAATGAATTTTACTTGACATAACTTAATTTTGTGGCATTAATAGGGAGTAATAAAAATAACATATAGGTCCAGTTAGATGGAAAATGGTGAGGGCTTGCAATATGAACTAAAGTGTCTTCAACATAAAGTTACTAAAGCTAAAATATTTGAAATTCTCATAAAAATCTTAAATGAGCAGGGCAGTGGAGGCTCATGACTTTAATCCCAGCACTCAGGAGGCAAAGGCAAGTAGATGTCTGTGAATTCAAGACCAGCCTGGTCTACAAGAGCTAGTTCCAGGACAGGCTCCAAAAACTACAGAGAAACCGCCTCAGAAAAAAACAAAACAAAATAAACAAACAA